TAGTTAATTATAAAGGAGAATAAACATAATTTTTTTTTACTAAAAAATACAAAGGCCCCATAGAGAATATAAATTATTCAAATTCTGTTATTAACTTTAAAAAATACTTATTATGCAAATAAAATACTTCTGTAAATCCGTGTAACATGGAGTTAACTTACATAACAATATAATCAACGATTTGATGAAATTATAAATGTTATATTAACAAATTTATTTAAATCTTTTGTATAAAAGCCGATTAGATGAAAAAAATAAAAATTTAGAAACAATAAATTAGATTTCAGAATATAAATTACAATAATTTAAGCTAAAGAATTAATTCTTAGATCTGATTCCTGTGCTTGCTCTAATTTTAATTAAATCTAGAAATCTACATGCAAGTAAGAAAAATAGATACTATGTACAAAAATCAACTTTGTTTTTCTCTCTCTCTCTCTCTCTCTCTCTCTCTCTGTCTATAATTTTAATTCAAATATTAAAACAAATTAAAGTTACCAATAATAAGTTACGTAAATGTTGCTCTGTGCTAGCAAGTATCAAATTTATATGACTGTTATAACTTATTTTATAGCTTTTTTAAAGTTTCAAAGAAACATTATACAAAAAAAGAAGAAAAAGAAATATATCTTCGACCAAATCTTTAATATTATCTTTCCCATTTCTTAGAAACGAAGAAGCTAAGAAAAGTTATCAAAAAGAGAGGGGGGGGAAATAGAAGAGGAAAAAAACCAATTCGGGTAAACGTCAAAATTTTACTATAGAAATTTACTATGCTCGCCTTACTCACAATTTATTTCATTTTATTCACTATTTCGGAGAAGGAACTTACATCGGCCCTTTAGGTATTAAAACATCTACGTCCTCTGTAGGAATAGACCAAACTAGAATAGAACGGGCATGGAGCTTTATCGTTTTATAAGGTATAATTTTGCCATATTACGGCCGTAAATTTCAAACTTATTTCCAAAGGCTAAATTATAGGGGCTAGAAAGTTTGACTAGCTACCTTTTAAGAAATGGGTCCCTCGTAATAAAAAAGAAATTTTTTTTCTTCTTTTACTGGTGTTCTACTAAATATCCCATGTAGAAAGAAGGAGCATTTTTTTCTGGATATTGGATCATTTTTCGACATATAGTTGAAATTTATCCAAAAATGGAAAGTCATATTCGTTCTTAGATAAGCGAGGTCAAACTCGATACTGTTTCGTTTTTATAGGTTTCTCCGCCTTTGAAAATATGTATTTAATATTTTCAACTCGTACTTTCATTTTCGACAAAGAAATTGTTACACTGGGATGGATTATCCGGAGTTTTGAGATCAAATTTAGGTCTATTGCTAAGATGTGGCTTTAAATTCAAGGGAAAAAAATGAAACGTACATAACGAAATGAGATGATTAAAAATATTACTATTTAAAATTTCGATCATATAAATTATATCAAAGTAATTGAAGTTTTAAAAAATATTCAAATTTGTTCTCACAATAGATAATTTTTCTTAACACTAACAGATTGTTACATTTAAGGAGCTACAAGATGAGACAAAAAATTACAGAGAGATCAAATTTCATGAATAAAAAATCGATAATACATAAAACAATATTATTCTGCCACATCCAGGGGATGTAATTCTTCTTAACTTAAATTGAAAGATTTATAAGTATAAAATTCTCGAAAAAGTGGAATTATGGTTATGAACTTAATTGCATTTTAAATGTTATATTTTTAAAAATTGTATACATTGTGACGGATCTATACACGTCTTTCCTCTAATCCTCTTGGGAAATCTTTGGGCTATCAATTTGAATTAATCACAACCAACCCTTTGAAGATGCAGCCGTAATATGTAGATTAGGTTGGTTATATATAGTTTAGGTTTTCTACCTAGAGAGATTGATAGAAGGAATTATATGGAGATTGAGATATAGAGAATCTGATTAGGAGGAGAGATTGCTACCGATCAGGTATTAGTATATTTGATAGCGCGTTTCAGAGATTAGACAGTTGAAGATATTAAAGTAACGTTTGGTCACCATATTTAAATTATAACCCAGATATTTAGAGTAGTAGATGGATCCCAAAAAAAGGAGGATCAATATATAAGAACTCTTCTCAAAATTCGCGCCTCTCGTTGTTCAATATTCTATTGCTCAGATTGGGAACGTCTCCCCTAGTTGGAATTTATAGAATTCTGTCTGTTGATAATTTGTGTGTTTAATAAATAGATTGGATAAATATGGTTAGTCACCCTTCACTTCCTCCCACACCTCTAATCGGGGCTGAGAGTAGACAGCGCTCGTTAACTACATAACTGATATCATAACTGATATAACTACAATGAGAATCGATAATAGTTTCGGGAGGGGGGGGGGTATTCACAACATGTGTGTGATAAAGAGAGGATTTATATTTTTGGGAAATTGATAGAAATTAGAAAGAAAAGATACCTATATTAATAGCAAAATAAAAATTAACAGATGAAAGTACTTTCACTAACAGCACTTATTATTATAGAAAAGTCAAAAATGAAGTGAAATGTTGGTTAGCAATTGAAAACAGATGTTTCTTTCAATCGATGTATATTTAGATCCAAAATGTTCTTAATTTAAATAAGTTAAGGATATTAAATTGCATTTGAAATGTGTGTAAGGCATATAATCTTTCTTTTTGTTAAGATCTTTATATTCTCCCGCTTTAATATAAAATTTTACCCCTTATATTTGATGGAAATGAAATAAAACAATTAAAACTTTGTTCGGTTACAATTGAAATAAAATGAAGGTTTTTAAAAATTATTCTGCAATGGATGAGAGTTATTTAAAGTAAATCTTTTGAGAAAAACAGGAAAAAGTAAAGATTTTATTTATGCAACATCAGAGTCAATAGCAGCATACAAGGTTTTTTCAAAGAAATTAAAAAATTCAAATTCATTTATGTTTATTTATTGATCATTAAAGCCACACTCTAAGACATAGGTTCTTAACGTGAGCGATAACGCCCCCTTGGGGGGTGAGGCTTTCAGGGGGGCAGTTAAAGACTCAAAGAAAATTAGGGGTCGTTGAGAAAGCACAGAGGGAGTTGGACAGATTAACCAAAAAAGTCTTAAAAAAACCACGCTGATTATGTACTAACAAAAGTAAACTTTAATACTGTTTATTATGTTGTGATTGTATGTATTTAAATCATTTCTATATCACATGCACGAAAATTCACATATTTAGGTAGTTTGGGAAGTGGATAAAAAAACTTAAAGATTACATGACATTCACACCTACATTAAATTGAATGATATAGCAAATTTTCATTTCTGTAGTACGCGTGTTGCCTTTTTCTGTTAGCAGTATGAAAAAATTTTCGTCCACTGCATTTAATTGTGTACATTATCCAAGAAACATAATTAAATATATTAACCAGGAATTAACGTGATTCTTTAAAGGCTTAAACTGTCAATTTATATTTATTTCGAAAGCAATAGTTCATTATGAATTACTTCGTATCATCAAACCCCTGCCTGTCTTTATAACAGGTAAGCTAAAACTTTTTTATTCCACTCTTTTAAATGAAAAAGAAATTCAGTAGCGTTTTCATTCCAACGATATCCAACCTATAATATATAATATTACACATTTAAATATACTTGTGGCAACAGATATTTCAGATTCGCAAGTAAAAAAATTGGAGCCTTAGAAAAAAATGAAATTAAAAAATATACTTTTAATCATAGAATATTTTTTTAAAACTTAACTTTTGTTTTCACCATGTATTACGTACACAATTATTTCTCTAGAATGGGAGGGGGCGGTATCGAAATATTCACTAGAAAAGGTGGCGCCAGTTCAAAAAGATTGGGAACCTATGCTCTAAGGCAATACAAGGGCTTTTGGCAACGGACCTTGCATTTTTGAGCCACGGCCACGAGATAACGACATCAAAGATGGCGCCACATTCTCCCAACTTTCACAATACGCCAACTTGTGGACTTTGAGCCTCAATATATTAAATATGCATCTGCCTTTGACACGACGGATCTTCAGTAGCACCTGGTTTCTCACCTACAATTTCACATAAACCATACGGTCACAAGTTCACGGTACACGACTATACCATGGTCATTTAAATTCACTTTGATTTAATTTATTCTCTTCAATGATTGAAATCTCCAAAAGTTAAAAAATTAAAAATCATGTTTACTTCATATTTTTTCAACAAAAAATAATAATAATATTGTAGAAAAACTTAAAGCAAGTTAATATATATTTTATTTGTTCCTCCAAAATTTTAATTAAAGTTCTGAGAAGGAATATGAGCGAATAGTCTGATATAGAAAACAATTATAATTACAAACAAAGAGGAAGGGAAAAAGTCGAGATCATGTTAAAAAGAAAATTAGTAATTCTATTTTGAGAAATTCTGTTCTTGGAAATGTTAATTCCATTCGAATATTTCTAGCTTTTGTTAAAATATATATATATATAAAAATAATAAATTATATATATTATATTTTTTTTTTTTTTATTTTATTAATAAAATAATTAAATTAATATATTTAAATGAGAAAAAGTAGAATAAAAGCATAAAGAATCTTCAATATTTGCAATTTAAACATAATATTTTTAAGTTAAATAAAATTTCAAATAACTTTGAACTTCAGAACTTTTAATTTAAACTATGTTTGTCATGTAGTAGGTTACATATATTTATTATCGGAGAAACTTCTTTTTTCACCTCCTACTATTTTAGTTCACATCTCCCTACGCATATACATACATACATAGATATTTATATATATCTTGATTAAATATTCAATCGTTAATAAAATACTTTTTGTTCATCCACTCAAGTTCAAATATATTTTTTTAAACTTGTAGTGGATGACACTTGATGTTAATACACAGTTTTATCAAATATTAATTTATTAATTAAATTAATGAATAAATATAATAAACAAAAATAATAGTCCAACACAGAAAATAAAAAAGGAAAAATGCTCGTTTTGAACATGTAGCGCAATGGATAGCGCGTTGGAGTTTTAATACAAAGGTTGTGGGTTCAAATCCCACCTGGGATGCCCTAATTTCTGAGAATGTGATTTCTTTTTACTATACAGTAGGACGTCGTTTATCCGAATCAATTGGGACTGGACACCATTCGGATACGCGATTGTCCGGATAACCGAAAACCGAATGCGATTTATGCAGTATGTGATACTGGACATTATACGAATATTGAAAATCATCACATGCGGGAAATGTGCTTGAAGAAAAAGAAAAATAGGTGCAAAATGTTGCAATTTTACCTTGATTGTGGAAAATTATCACTTATTTTTCGCTGTACCATTGTACACCTACGTTTTTTAACTGCAAGGTCTCTAATTCTCTTAAGCAGCAGTAGTTGAGTAGGACAGCACTCTGATTGTTGTTCGTACCATTTCATAGCCGTCTCTAACGCAGAAAAGCGTCAGCATTTGATAAACCCTAGCTAATTTCATTGTTGTTGTCCTCGTCTTCATCCGCTTCATCGTCGACAGGGTGGAATTCTTCTTGCACGAAAATCACAATCTCATCATCATCTAGCATTTGAAATCCACAGTCTTTTGCATCGCATGCCATCCAGGTTTCTATATCAACAAAACTCAACAAAAGAGCACGTATACACCACCTCACTTGGAAACAAACTGACCTAATATGCTTCGCAGATGTTTACCAAGTCACACAACTGAAATTCCCCAACAATACCTCACCTTGGGGTTTACCGTCACTTTTGGCCTCACAGGAAACAAATGTTGAGCATTGCACTGTTCGAAAACGTATCCGGACTTTGGTTCGGACATTTGACGCCCCGGATAGTAAACGTTTGGATAAACGACGTTCTACTGTACTATTTACGTGAATAATTAGATTTTATTTATGAGAAATAGCCACAAACAAAAATAATTCAACACCCTAATTAGAAGGAAAAAAAGGAAAAACTGCAAGGAAAATCGCTTTTTATTTTTTCACTTAATATTGTGATTTTGTCATATGTATATACATATTTGTATTAATTGTAATTATTTAATAAAAAGCAACTAAAATGAAAAATTTTCTTTGCAGACCTAAATAGGAATTGATTTTTAAAAAAATTTTAATGCCTGTTTTTTACCTTAAAACGTCTCTAAAAGATAAATGTAATAAAAATTCTGATACACACACACACACGAAAAATATTATAGCAAAAAATAAAAATAAAAACACTAAATTACACTTTTAGTTTATATAGAAATATTATTCAATCACATAATATATATATAAGGAATCATTTCTGTGCGTTTCCCGTATCCCGACTATTACAATATCCGAAGCATCCGGTAAGCAACCGGAGCAACAGCTATTTCCAGGAGAAACGCGGAGGAACGTAAGAGGATGGAGAGAGAGTAAATCGGCTTTTATACACAGAGATAGTTCCCGATTTATCCAATTGAGTAACGGATTGTTTAGTTGTGCTTCCGATGCCCTAATCACAGCTCCAAGTGTTGTAACCGCAGTTACGAGATTCCGGATTCTCTAGGGGGACTTGTTGTGGGAAGATCACTCTTAATCCTCTCGACGATGGACAATGGTCAAATGGAGCGGACTTTCACCGAAAGGGTGGAGGAATACTGGATTTTATGAAGTGGATAATGGATTAAATTTGATTATGATTTATTTCATTGTTTATTCTTGAAAGGTAGAAAGTTAATATTTCTTGTTTTCTAGTTTATTGTTTGATAAAATGTAATTCAGTATTTTTCCAACTTTCAACATTTGCGACCCAATATTCAATCATAATTTTCATCGCGCCCCCTCCATACAATAACAATGCATTCAATTCAATAATACTATACTTGACGCTAAAGCTACAATACGACTTAAACCTCTTAAGTGTCACCGGCGTATATAACATCTCACTTAGCCAAAGCGTCAATTCCCTCGGACGTATATATACGTCTTTCCGAATTAGATCTCTGTGCACTGTTATCCATAAAATTATTCCGGAGGTTTTGGAGTGCAATAAATCGACAGTGTTGGCAGTGTTTGCGAGGGATTTCATGGGATGTTTTTTCTTATTTATTCCCCTCCCAATACATCACATACGTGCCCCTACGTGGAAAACGGTGGCATTAAGGAGGGAATCACGTAACGTTTTTGGCAATTAAGGGATTAATTATAAGCTGTAAAAATTATCAAGTTAAGTATTTTGTAAAAATTTTATATAAGACAAGTCCGAGGTCAGTGGTACTTTTTAAACTTGTTCTAAGTTTAGTATTGTTAAATTAATTATCTAATACATTGGCGCAGTACTGATACATTTATAAGTGTATTATATCAGTGTAAATGTGTATTTTATTTTTTATAATGTCGATTTGTGTTTTATTTGATTACTTTCAGTGAATTAATAATTTTTTAATATGTTTGTGACCCCTCGTGGAGTTATCACGCCCTCTTCTACGTGGATGCACCCCACAGTTTGAGAATCGCTGCTTTAGGGTGAAATAGTAACCAATCACCGTTTTAATTAGTGTGAGAAGCATGCAAAGATTAGACATCTCTAGAACACTCACTTGATTCCAGCTAATTCCAAATATATTATCGTTGTAAATAGTTAATGGGTTTTAGTTAGCCCTAATTCATTATGATTATATAACGTACTTATCAAGCATATATGAAGAAACGCAGATGTATAGTTTACACACTTTGGAACCTGATATCAAGGCTCCGAGTCCTATTCTAAGATATAATTCAAAATAGCATTAACAACATCTTTCTACAATCTCCCCTCCTGGAACTCAATTCACCTTAACTTTAAACAGCAGTTTTTATTTGTATAAGTCATGGTTCCAGTATATTCTCAAATCTAACAATTTACTAAATTTATTTATTTTCCTCTTAAGGATTAAAAGAGGAACTCTCGTTACAGAATTAGCACTTTATTTGTTGACCAATAAGATGAAATTTTACCAATACGAAAACTAAAGGCCCTTAGAAATATTCCTTAAAGAATATGATTATCTAAAGCAATGAAATAATTAAAAGCAAGCTACGAAAGTTAAGAGACGTGAAATAAAAAAATTTCTGAAGCTGACAGCTAACAAGTATTTGTATGGGAAATGGTATTCAAATTAATAAATATGAACTGTATGCCACATATATTGAGTTAAGAAAATATAAATTTATTTGCTGATTAACTATTTTAGGCCGGCGGTGTAGCCTAATCACGGGTTCGTGTGTCTGGCGTGTCATATGTTAGAGCCTATTACCAATGAAGATCCACCGTGTAGAGGAGGACAGTGCGCGTTAAAATCTGTCGGGGTTCAAAGTCCTTACTTCGGTGGTGTGAAATTCAGAGAGAGGCTACCAGCTCATGCATCGTCCTCGTTATTTGACTATAGTTCAAATAACGAGGTTCGACGACAACAGCACTCTCTCGTGTCGTTTCATAAAGCCGCAAAAATAAACAATCAAACACTCGAGAGCTACTTTGATTATAATATAATACTGCATATATATATATAATATAATACTGTAATCAAGGGCGTAACTACCGCCGCATCATCCGTATCAATGATACGGGGCCCCCAAACATTTGGGGTCCAAAAATGTGTATGCAAGAAATCGTAAAATGTTAAGGGACTCAAAAATGGTGCCCCAAAGAATTTTGATACAGGGCCCACTTAGGACTAGATATGCCAGTGAATATAGTATACAAGGAAGCCCAGTGACTGAGTGGAAGTGCAATGCGCTTCCACACCACAGGTCCGAGGCTCAAACCCAGGGCTGGTCAAGATAGACTCAACCTTTCATCCCTTCAGTGGGTAGATAAATGAGTATCAAGCATTCTTGGGAACTGAACACTAGGGGTTTCGCGTCAGACTTACCACCTGACCGGAACATCTGCTCATGCACCTCAGGGCTCAAGGTCACGTATACTGAGAAGGGCACAGTAGGTCTTGATCCTCATGGACAGTTAAGCCACTGAGTTAAGTTATAATATAAAAGAATCCTTTAAAATTTTTAATACATATGGAAAGGATAGAGTTAATGTTGACTTTTATTATTTTTACCCCTGAATTAGCAAATATAAAAATCAAAGGTTTTTATTTTTACAAACACAACCCCTTTCTACTCTACAAACTTTTTCCTAATTCCACCTAAAATTTTCATTTTTCATCTAATGTTGTTTTAAAACCGACTGACGGCATCGTCAGTCGGTACAGGGAGGATCTGCGTCAAATGGTCAAGAAGCCAAGAACGGGGGTTGGATAAATAAATAATAATAAGTTTTAATTTTTATATATATAAGCTCAATCTCTAACTACAAAAAGCAGACCATACGGCAAAAACTGAAAAATGCGCATCAATTTTACACTTCTAAGCAACCTTGTTATGCATTAAATCATTCCAAGTCTTACTTTTTTATTACAACACCCCCTCTTACACACATTGCCATTCCAACCTTGACTTATACGAGGCTTCGCATGAGACATATTACAAGCAGAAAGTTATATTAAAAATAATCTAAGTGAAAGAATCACGAAAGAGCAACAACACCCACTCAAAAAAAAGAATAAAAACAGACCCTTCGGTTGGACGCAATTTGAGCCTAAAATTTTCCGCTTCATAATCACGCGGCATAAAAATCCGGAAAAAGGTAAATTCATCGTAGCGTTATAATCCGGGCCGGGGCTTGTTTCGCCGTGTGGAAGGTAAAAAATTACGGGAGGGTGATTATTAGAAAAGGGGGCAGTAAGTTATGAGTCGCCATTAGGACTGGGAGCGGAAGAAATTCAATTACGAAGTCCCTCGTAAATACGATTCCCGTACAATGCTCAAATCTTACTGTGGTCGAAGCTCTCCAGGAATGCTGTCGTCGGCGATGAGAGCGAATAACCGTAGGAGAAGTGATTCTAGTTTAATTATAGGTCGGAATCCCGTTTTCCGGAATTTCTCGGGTCGTTTTTTGTAAAACTTGAAACATTTCCTAGCCTACATGGTATGTTTGTTTTATTCCAGGGAATTTTTTTAGTTGCCTATCCATTTAATTTGATAATTA